CAAGCAATATCCTTATGCAGTAGATTGGCGGACGAAGCTCAAGAATGAACGTTTTATAAGCTACAAAGCTTGAAGAGGATTTTGACATGACCACCTCGTCTAGAATTATGCCTAAGACAATAATTTTAAGGGGATTTCGTTTGTCCATTGTTTCAGTTCAACAATTTTAGCAGCTTGTCACTCATCTAACCAACAAATGCTTGGTTTTTCATTACTAAATGCATTGGAGTTACGTGAAGCATATGAAAAGAGAATCAGCGCACAGAATTAAGTATAAGAGATGAGACGAGAAAACCGCCATGCGAATATCATCTCGCGGGTGTGTTGAGCAGTGAGTTCGCAAGGGGAGCAACCACGACCGCTCGTTCGTTAATATTCGGTTTTAGAATTACTATGAAGCCCAGATCACATTCAATGCAAGTTGCATGATCAGTGGACAAGTGGATTCTTGAACCAAAGTTCATCTGTCGATAAAGGGCATTCGAAAGCAAACTAGCGCAGTTTTTTAGTAGCAACCAAGAGAAGCTGGTTGTTGATTTTATAGTACACAAGCGATCGGTGTGCATCAGATGAAATCTGAAGCAGTTTCAAACATCATGTACAAACCTTTTCGTGAGGCATAAAAATCCACTATTTTATGCGACATGTCTTGTTTTTATTTCAAAGCATGCAACCTTGTCGTCTGCTAAAGATACTCGTTTAGCTATCACACCCCCTTTCAGTGCTCAGCTGTCATGCCACCCGAATGAAGCACGAGAGCTGGGATACAATCAGGTTGCCCAAGCCTAGACAGGGGAAGTATACAGGCAGAGGTCGGGTTCGAACCACAGGCCTTCCGGTCAGTAAATGCGCCCTCTAACCACCGGGTCATCTCGCCCTGGCCTGATACACATTTGAAGCAATACAATTCAACAACTGCTTCCTAATTTGTTAATTATAACTCTGGAACATCTTAGGTCCAAACTTATGCCACTTATGAACGAAACGGTGGCGATTCGAAGTTATTGATGTCTCAAGGACTGGGTCAGTGAGCAAAACGATAGCGAATAGGCAGAAATTGCGGCTTATGAATCACTTATCCTGTCGGAGGCTTCGGTAGTAAACTGCAGTTAAAAAATGAGGACAAATTGACCAAAGCGCTAGTGAAAAAGAATAGCAAACCAAGCAGTGCTCTTGTGGCCATTAATTACACTGTAAAACTCATTAGCAGTAAGCCGCTATCCTAGTTTACAGTGGTGCATGCATTAAGACCAGAACAGCTCAGTAAGACCATTGTCCTTATCCTATCCAATCGATCCATTGAGCAATGTTTTTACCCCAACGCGAAGTTTCTACCAAAAAAGGTGAGAAAACGCCTCATTCGTGCTCTTTGCCTGGTACACCAAATATTAACGGTTTCTCGACCGGGTGTGAGGACCTAAGTGAGTTAAATTAATTTGTGGGGTCTTGTGGGTTATGAAGAATCCTGGAAGAGTTCACGAATAGAGCCTCGAAACATATCATACTTTACGCCCAGATATACAAAATATGTTTCACCGTCCGTAAAGTAAGTCGAGCCGCATCCTAATCCATTACCGCCAAATAGTTGCCATAGGTTGTTCCGAAATTGTGCTCTGCTGAATATTAGCATAGCTTTAGTTGACGGTGGCTAACGCTGTCTTGTTTTGTGTCGGTCAAACAATGTATGCATTCCACCTATGTCCCACATTTCTTCTACTTTCTGGGTATTATGGGTCAAACAATTTGAACAAAAGATTTTGACTTCAGTAAATGATTCCGATCAGTGATCGTTATTGTTGGTGGGACGCCAGCATACGACGCCGGGTCTAAAGAACGATTATACTGTTGCGCAGCTGTTTCTCGTGCACACCACTGAAGGACTTCCACTTACTAACTCACGAAGTTCGTCCAATCATTCTGCCTGTCACGTAGTCTATCGGTTCACATGAGTTGAAGTGTGGTGGGACGCCAGCATACGACGCCGGGTCTAAAGAACGATTATACTGTTGCGCAGCTGTTTCTCGTGCACACCACTGAAGGACTTCCACTTACTAACTCACGAAGTTCGTCCAATCATTCTGCCTGTCACGTAGTCTATCGGTTCACATGCAGTTGAAGTGACATACACAGACAAAACACACCACCTGGAACAACTGGAAATACCACGAAACAATCCAGGTCACAACCGAATCGCACGGGTCAAAGGTCAAGCCGGACCCGCAATCATCGACCGTTAGACCTGATAAAGCCAGCTAATGCACTGATCCAAGAACTCCATCAGAGTCTTATCGATAAACCTGGGTCCTAATTGTCGAAGTTAATCGACACAATGAGCATCAACTTTCTCGACCAAGATCTCATGGTTGCCAAGTCACTGATCGTATGCCCGATTTTACATGACGGACAATTGCCCGTTTTGCAAAATGATCACGCACTTTCACGTTCACGATTAAGGGAGTTAACATATGCCAACTTATCGCGACGTACACATTTTTCCTGCGTGGCAAAATGGATAACCCAAGGTGTTAAAGTATTTGATTACTTGTCAGTAGCTGTCGCATTAAGAGAATATGCACCCACTTCATCGGTGTTCATCAGATCCTTCTGTGTTAGCGTTGGTTGTTCCAAACAAAACTGGGAACACCGTACTACAGTTTTGCGGTTAGTATGTAGAATCAGTAGTGCACATCCTTGAGTGTACTGATCAAGCAAACTACGTCGCCTGTTTGGACGCCGCAAGTAATGTTCGCCCAAGATGAACAGGCAGAATAGGGGTAACGCGCTCTCCTCGCACGGGAGAGGTTTGCGGTTCAACTGCCTGCATAATCAAGCTCAGGCGCTGTCGATAAGTATTAACAAAAAAGTCCAGTGCCTCTCAACTTTAGTGCTGCTTGACCAAAATAATCGCGCTAGGACAGAAATAGGACCGTTAGAACAAAGGCGGTGGATACACAATCAACTATGGTACTTCATTTACTGACTCATTGTGTGGTTAATTCGGCTGGTTATTTATCAATCTTTTCAGACGATGAAATATTATTGTCTTGGATTCTTTAGATGACAAATTCCTTTTATGCCTTTCCGGGCACCTATCGTGCAGATCTTAAAATCAGAGAAATATTATTTCAAAAATACACAGCACATGCCTTTCATATATCGGCTTTTTACTGGATCTTTTACCTTAGCCCATATAACAGTGAAAATCCTGCGGCATTGTGCAGTTCAGTTAAGCTCAGTCTTACAACCGTGTACGTATGGTATTGCGGATAGTTCGTGTCGTGAAATACAAAAGTTATAGAAAAAAGAAATAAAAAGAACAGCGGATAGATATTGAAGAACAATTCAGCTTTGACACAGGTAGTATCACATCGCCATTCCAACCACTGATGATCAATCGAATCAATGCATCGTTAGGCTGTAACACCCTTTCGGTGCCTAGCTGCCTTGCCACCCGAAGGAAGCACGGGGGCAGGGATGCTGCCAGATTGAGCAAGCCTAGACAGAGGAAGTAGGGAGGCAGAGGTCGGGTTCGAACCACGTACATTCCGGTCAGTAAGTTCGCACTCTAACCAATTGAGCCATCTCGCCTCCAACTACTGATATGGTGCGTCAAAATGGACGCGCACCAGAGCAATCGGGAGCCTCCCTTGTGTTCTTTTCATGTTCTGTATCTAGGTCATAGACTGTCCAATGGGTACCTGCCCCAGGAAATAGGGGATGGGAGGCAGTCAATTAGCTGCCATTCGGAGGACATGACCAAGTCAGCGCAGTTGATGGGTTCGAATCAACTCGAAGATTGAACATGCGGTAGACCTGTAGCTAAGACCCTTTCGTTACCTTTCAGTACTATTAGTTTGATGCTCCAGTGATACGTACGCAGTACTTTCAGATTATCAATGATCATAGAAAAACAATCTTCTCTTTCCGTCAACGTACAGCGGCCAGGCTTCACATCTGTAAATTGAAACTGAACGGTCCACTAAGTTCCAGATGTTGAGTTTCATCGACGGGTAAATGTTAGATAGACTTCAGCGTTATCTAACCTTAGAGAAAGCAGAAGTGGATTTAGCAATTCTATCACTCATTCAGTAACGCCGCCGTCCGACGTAATTCAGCCACTTGGATACGTAAGGTTTTTCACCGTTTCTAGTGATTTTGAAGACAAAACCAGCTTTTGTAGTCCACTCACTGAGTGTTGTAATAACACTTTGCAACTCGAGGGTACGCAGCGCATACCTGGAGGAATTTCAATTTGGATTAGTTAGTGTCTTTATATGAACGGTCCACCACCGGATAGTAGAATATCATCCGCATACTCCAAGTTTTTAAGGTTTCCCTCGAGGAGAAAATTCTAGGGGTAGAATGCAAAGAAGGATTCTTTGACATTCAGTTCGATTAGTAAGTTAGGAAGGAAAGGTGAAAAAACATACCTGAAGTGCGCCACTCTTGATGAACTTAATAAGAAACCCAATTTGACTTCCGCACACCTACAAAATCAGCCTAAAGTGGTGATCAGGCTTGAGTACTGCAAAGATCTGCTTGGATATTTGCTCCACAAGGGGCAATCATGCCAGAAGGGCCGATGCGGAGCAACCAGACCGACAGCAGCGAGGACCGATACTAAGAGAAATAATATTGCGAGGTGGTTAAGCGGCAAATTTGCGACGAAAGTGCACTGATAATAAGGTCCTTTCCAGACGACTAATATGTCCACATTCTTGAGGGCAGCGATGGCGCCTTTTCATGAGGAAGTATAGGTTAGAAAGAGCCGATGCATAAGTCATCATAATTTACGGCGGCACTCCAGTAAAACTCACTGGTGCGTACATACGACAAAAGCCACGTATTCCGACAGTCCAAAGGGTGACTACCATCGAGTTATCCAACACTCAGAAAACAAACAAACCTTAACACAAGCCGGATTTGGCACCAAAAGTGTCTGCTATGCACCTTGAATCATTTGAAAAAAGTTTTTAACTGATTGAGAAACAATCGTTTCAGAGGGGCCTGGCAAGCCATCGGTAGCTTCTAACTGGACAAGGTTTCACTTACTAGACAACAGCTTTATCAGGCTTAACTGCTATGCCAACTGAAGGAAGCACGAGGGCCAAGATACTTCCAGATTAATGCATGTGATGGTTTTTTTTGCGGGAGGTGTATTGTTCAGTTTCACATTACTCTCGTTTTGAACAGTCGTCCTCCTGTCCTGGCGTAATTATTCATGTGAATCCACACCAAGGGCGGGAAGCACTGGACTAGAGTTTCGCTCTCCAAAGGGGGAAGCACTGGACTCGAGTTTCGCTCTTCCAGATTATTTAAGCTTAGACAGGGGAAGTCGAGAGGTTAGGTTTGAACCTCGAACTTTCCGGTTACTGAATTCGAGCTCTAATAACTAGGTCATCTCGCCCCCTAGGCAAAGTGAGGAGGTCACCAAGTTGGTCAGATTTTAAGGCAAACGGGGAACCAGTCAGTAAGACCACTTCAGTTTGGCACACTAGACAAGTGCCTAATACCAATTAAATAACATTAGTCCATTAAATATGAAATAATCACACAAATAATGTCAACTGAATAAGTGATAAATCTGGCTGCTGAATCAAGTGTTCAAGACAAGGCCATCATCAACAGCCAATCACTATATGGTTAGTCTGAGTCTCGTGTGGTTACTCTTCGGAGAGCGTCAGGTAGCACAACGCTCAGCAATGTGCACTGTTCTTAAAAAGCTAGTGTTGAAGGCTGTCGCATTAATCTATTCAGATTCTAAAAATTCTCCTCCTCACCATCATC